TTTTATAATAGAATATTTTACACTATGCAACTAGTTACAGATTCTCTTTTCTACCGCAAAACATGGTACAGAATCCTTCTCCCTTTACCTTAAGTGGTGACCTGGAGGTTGGACCTGGCCAACTGGTAGATGTTGAGATCAAGACAAAAATGGGATGAACGAGCCTCAGGGACTAGGGATGCTGGACAGAAGACTGCTCCAGCATGCGGGGTAACATCAACAAAGGGAGTAGACTGATTTTTCATGGCCTCAGAGCAGTGTACAATGGAGGTATTCTGATGAAGGAACAGAATTCAGCAATGGAGATGCCTGGATCAGCAGACACTGAGGAATACAGACTGGTACACAATTAGGTGTATCTAAGAGCATGTCTGCTAGTACCTAACTCTGGTTCCTATGTGAAGGGTGAGGAGAGGGTAAATGAAATAGTGAGTGAGATCATGGCTGCTAAGGAAAATCTCAAGCCACATATCCAAAGAATAAAGTCTTGACTATTAAAACCCAAGCACAAAGGAAGTCATTAATTTGGAGAACACAAGGAAACCTCAATTTTCCAAATCAAGGCAAAAGGTCAACTCAAAAGAGCAACTATGGCCACAGTCTTAGAACAAGGGGCTGAAGTTACTGAAAGACGAAAATGAATCCCTTACTGAAAATCAATGATGAAAATGCATGTGAAGGTTAAGGCTAGGCTCATAGTAGGTCTCTAACATTTATATGTTCCTCCCCTCTCTCCCAACAACTAAGTGGTAGCCCTTGAAAGCCCTGAGCACACTTAGAAGTGGTCTGCGCCCCAGGTGTTAAAAGATTAACGAACCCAGTCAATCACATTCCCTAAGGCACTTAGAAGTGCTTGGATTGTTGGTGACACAATAGGAAAACGTTACATTTGTGCCCTTTGGCACGCCTCTTCTTTGGGATCTATATTCTAAAAGCCCTATTCACCCAAATACTGATTTGCTTTAGAGACACTGATCAATATGAAAACTACAAAAACAAATGCCTACCTTATTCCTTTACACATTACATTATGCAGACATCACCAGTGGAATTACCAAAGCAGAGGATTTTAAGTTGGTCTCTCCTAGTCACTGAAAATGTTAGTAGTTATACACAGCACTAATGGTTTTAAATTTTTTTTGAACAAAAGGGTCCCATTTAAACATCAGTCATGGAGCAATTACTTTACCAGTGTTTCTGATGGGAGAGCCTGGACATGATTTCATAAACTATGAAGATTCTGAACAAAGTTCTAGGAAGCTCTCCCCTGTTGGTACCACGTAAGGTACTGTGGCTTCAACAGAAAAAAAACTCATCAGATCACAAGGGACGGGATTATGCCTGCGAATGAACTTTTTAATACTGAGGTGACCCAGCGTCTTTTCCTGGGTGCCAAAGTGTTTGGTGCTATTCCAGGAAATCTACCTACATAATGCCTGGCTCTCTTTTCAGCACAACATGCCACATTGGAATATAGTTTGGGCTTCAAATTGGAAATTCCATTTCTTAAAAGCATTATTTTTTGGTTAATTACCTACATGGAATCACAAATACACATATTCACACTGAAGTCAAACTAACACTTCTCTTGAGTTTGGTGTTTCAGGAGAAATATTTCATTTGTTAATATCAAACACACTAACGTGTCTCTCTTCTCCTTTACCCATTCTTGAAATACTCTGAATTCATCTGTGAAGAGTGTGTCTAGTAATTCACATGTGAAGCCACAAGCTACACAGCTAATTGGGCCTAATTGAGTCAAATCTTACCCTAGACAAATTACTATAGGTATAAGTCAACCCAACTGCAATGGAGAATTAAGTTAATATTAAACATTATCCAAATTTCTTAAGTCTTCACTCCACCTTAATTCTCTATCTATGCCCATGTTTCATATGGATAACACTGCCATTTACTTTCTAATAAGGGATAAAGTATTATTTTTAGTATGATTAAGATGTGTTAGTTTTCTTTTTAATTAAGATTAGATGGTTTTAAAAGAATATGTCTTTCCTAGAAATGTCACTGGTAAAAAGGATCCAATTTTTCTCTAACGTGGTGCTTTCCCTGTCCATAAAACTTATTTGATTAGCAGTACTATAGAAGCTAAAGCTTTTGTATGTAGGCACTCAAGCATAATTTAATCATTTTATTTAAGCATGAAAAAAAATTATTCTGAAAGCTCTGTTAGGTAAAATATCCCTGCTTAGTTTAAACTTACATTTGCAGGTATGTTAAAGGTGAAATAAATCTCAGAATGCTCAGTATGCAAATGAATAGCGTTAACTTTGTTACAATAGTTGGCACTAAGTTAAAAGTTGTAGATTAGAAAACGTAAGAAATAATGATCTCTTTTTAAATACATTGGAACAAGTTATTTTAAAATACATTTTGTTTTGTGTCAACCCATTTTCTATTACCAGGATTTTTCACCTACGGAAACTTCTTTCACAATCAAACAAGATGAGGTCTAATTGCATAATACCATTTATCTGCTGAGGATAAAAGTGCCAACAAATGAAAATGCACATTAGGCAAGAGACTGTCAGAATAGAAATTTTTTTTATTTTATTTTTTTGGTTTTTTTGTTTTTAAATAACCCACTCACATTAACAAAAGACTGCAGTAGCTTCCAAATTATAGGTTGTTATTTTTAGTGGGAGTAGTTCAATATTCATATTGGAGCAGATGTAGCAGTTTAACAAAACAGCTCTTCAAATCCTGCACAAATTGAAAACAGGAAAACTGATTGCATTTTCTCTTATCACTTTCCTTTTCTGAATTGACACTTTTGGCCTTCTGAAAATTTACACATGGCTTTCATCTCAACAGCACCTGCCGATCAAACGGAAACCTAACATTTTCATGAAAATGGTATAAAAGACTAGTTTTGTTCTCAACACTGTGAAGGGCATCAGTTGCCTACTTGATGGCAACAATTGTTGTGTATAAGTCACATCCATAATAGACTCATATTTTCATTAAACTTTTAAAAAAAAATATGCTAAGTCCCTTGTGATATTTTTCTATATTCACTTCTTGTACAGTCCAAAATTCTTTGCCTTAATGCCTGCCTGCCTAATGGTTTCATTATGTAAAGACTACGACATAAAATATGTAACAGGGTAAATTACACTAAGAAGATAACGAATACTTAATATTCTCTGTGCCTCTTCCTGAAATACACATAAATTTATCTCTACATATTACTGCCTATGTATGCACCTGAGTGTGAAATACGTGTCCATCCCATTTTGCATTCCACCCACTAAAAGAAAACTGGAAACAGAAAGTCAGAGCCTGGCCCTTGAAGGCACCTTTTACATCCTTTTACCAGATAGAGATTTAGCAGGTGCTTGGTTGTTTGAGGAAGAACCAATGCCATTCACAGAACACACTGGTGACCTAAATGGAGTGACAGGCCACCTCCTGGGGAGGTAAAGGCAAATCTTGAAAATGGGTATTCTTAAATGTAAAATCTGCCAGATTGTTAGCCAGGTTGCTTCTCAGATCTTCAATGAATGTGCTCCCCACATTTCTCTAGAACACCTAATTCTGAGTAAAATTAAAGATGCTCCTAAGACGTGCAATCTGTGAGTTTCTCAGCCAAGAGCGCCCTACCCTTTCTGAAGGATTCCAGGCTGTTTTTTCCCATTCTGTCTGGGTGATAAGGCAACCTGAAGGCAGAAATGACATCCAGTAATATATGTGCCACTCTGGCCAGTTGGTCTGTGAATTTCAGTGTTTCATCATGCTCACTGAGGCAACAGCCAACCTGAAATGTCAATATGTTCAGTCAATGGAAGTGAAATAATGGGACTCTATTGTCTTACCCAATCGATCTGCCGCTGTCAACAAGGAAACATGCCCCCCTGGCTTTAAACAAATTTTAATTAGGCTTTTAGTTACCAGTCGTACTTATCTATCTATGAAAAGCCCTATTTTGACAACATGTAGGAGCAAAACAATCATTTTTCTACTTTTATTCATTTTAAGAACCTTCCAAAGTTGACATCCCATTTTTTTGAAATACACTTATGCGGTAATAAGACACTTTCTCTTCTTTTAAACTGATCCCGAGCAAAAAAATTCATGGTTCAAATCCAAAATACAAATCTACCTAACAGACTTAGATTTCTATTTCCCTCCAGCCAGAGTTGAGCCACACTATAAAATCAACTAATTCCATCTTAAAAGTCAGCTTCTTTCACTTTCCCCCCTCATTAGAGTGCCCTGAGCATCAACTCGTCCTCCATTCAAAACAAATCACACAAAATCCAACAGTAACGATCAATCCCCCCAGCGGCTACTGTAGCCTCTTCACTCAGTCTATCCATCCGAAAGGGAAAGGGTGAATGAAATTCTGCTTAAAATCGGGTAGGTGTGTGGTGCTAAAAAGGGCAAGGGTGGGGGGCGGGCAGAGGAAGAAATAAGACCTTTTTAAGTCATTCCCATCGCACCTAAGTTCTGTAGCCCTTCATTGCACCGAAAGAGAGTCACACTTGAAAATAAAATAAAAATTAACTAATCAAGTTGTTAAGCGGCTTTCTCGCTCCCTTCTCCATCTAAAGGCTTCGGCGTCCAGTCAATAAATAATCTATTGTTCCCCCTTTATCGAGTCTCTTTAAACCTATTCAGACTGGCAAAACTAAACCCAATTAAAGATAAGGCCCTCCGGTAATCTCACCTCGGTGAGTCCTGTCTGGATAGCAGAGGTGATGGGAGATAGCGCAAGGCCAGGGCTGATGCCGCCTGCTCACCCCGCACAACAAAAGGCAGATTTCTCTTTCTCCCTCTGCTAATCTTTAAATGTAAATTCTCTCCGCCAGCTAAGAGGAGCGACAGATAACATGTTACATCTTCACTTCTCCTGGTCTTATCGACTTCTGAATCGCTGGGCGAGGGAGAGAGGGAGAGAGAAAGCCGCCTCGCCCGCCCGCCCGCCGCCCGCCCCCCGGCCGCCCCTCCTCCGCCCGCGCTCCCCCCTGCACGGAGATTACCTTCTGGCAAAGGAGCGCGGGAGAGCGGCCGCGGCCGCGCGGCACCCAGACCGCGGCTTTGTATTCATTAAACACACATCGGAGCTTATCAGAAGTAAAAGGCTTGTCAGGATGGCACATTGTGTGTGAGTGAGTGTGTGAGCGCAGGAGGGAGAGGAGAGAAGCCAACGTGCATCAGGGTGATTACAATATCAGCAGGGCCCAGATGGAGGCAGGAAAATAAACAGAGGGTGCGTGTGAGACGGAGCGGGAGAGGGAGGAAAAGTGGGAGAGAGAGAGAGGGAAGAGACACAGGCAGGAGGGAAGGAACCGAAAGGGATGGAGGGGGCGGGGGCTCAGGCCCCAGGATGGAGCTGGAAAGTGGGGGAGAAGCATCCTGAGGCTAGCTGGGGATGAGAGGCAGGGCTCCGAGGTGCCTGCATGCCCACATCTGCACCTACCCCAAGAAGAAAGGGGGGAGTCCAGACCAACAAACTGTATGTCCCTGCTCCAGGGCTGGACTGGAACGTTTTAGAGGTTCTGTCAAGGTCAGAGGGGGATCAAGAGATCTAGAGCATACAGGAGACATTCACTATCTCAGCCCCATCTAACCAGCCACAATTTGCAAAACAAACCTAGTGAGTCCGCACAGCAGTTAAGCTGCCTTCCAGACCGACCTCCAGTGGGAGTTCCTGCCCCTTTCTTGGCAGCCCCCCTGCACACCCACCCATACAGAAATGTAAAAGAGCTCCTTTCCCTGGGCTTCAGTGTGTCCCAGTTGAAGATTCCTGCAGCCAGCATCACTGTGATAAAGAGGACCACTTGTGATTGGTAGCTACAGGTGACTCTTAGACACCTGCTCCACCTCCAGAAATTGTGTTGGGGGAGGGGGTTCCTTATGTGTACATATGAGAGTCTATTTTGGAGGTGTGAATCTGAAATTGAGGCAATCAATCTCAGCTTGAGCTGTCTCATGGCTCTTCACCCACCCAGAGCCTGGCAATCAATCAGAGAACAAGCAGGGGCTGATGCCCGTCCATCAGTCCAGAGTTCATCCCCCTCCCAAACAGGGTCAGGACAGAGACACACCTGGGTAGTCCCTTGGGAACCCCTTTTCACTTTTAAATGCGCCCATCAGACAATCTGAACATCTGATCAGATCCCTAATGGCGTGCAGATAATGCCACAAATAAGGTTATTTTATGGGGGGTGGGGATGGGGTAGGGGGTGGTATTTGGTTGTGTTGTGTTTCCAGGCGCTGAAGCTTGGCTAAGAACTCTCACTACAGTATGAGGAGTGAGTTCAGAATGAAGCAGCCAGTAAACTACATAATTTTTTCATGGCACATACTGCAGCCCCAGCTGCTGTGAAATTTAGGATTATAAAATAGTTTGTGTATGGGGTCTCAACAGAAAAGAGACAAAATGAGTGGGGGGCAGGGTGAGTGAGTAGAGAAAAACATAGGCGAGCAAGAGAACTAGCAGCTGCCTTTTAGAAGAGACAAATTTTAAGAGGCTCTTTGGAAAATAAGGAGAGGTATTGTTTAATCAAGCACTCCCCACCAAATCACTTAGGGAAAACCATTTTGTGCGTAGTAGACACCCCCACCCCAATGCGCTGACCCTAAGAAAAGAATTTAAAGCAATTGGATAGGTAACACAAAGCCAAGGATGCTGGACATCAGTGGGGGAAGGGCATGTGTGAAAATCTTGTCATGCAATGAATGTCAGATAAAAGGGGGTCTGCCACAATCCTCCAGTAATCCAATAATGTGAAAAACCTCGTGGTATCCCTGAGACGAGAACAAGGTAATATTTCTCCATAAATCTTCAAAAAGTGACCAGGCTCAATAGTTAGAGAAGGGTGCAAGGGTAGGCAGTGCAAAGCTTGCCAGGCTACCGTACAAAACCAAGGGAGCTCTACATGGGCGAAGATCTGTCATTCTTACGTGTTTTAAATTGAATAACAGATTTCTGCAGTATCATTTTAGCCCTCATAAAAGATCACCTTTCACCCCTTCTAGAGCTGCCATAGAAAAATGTATTCAGAGTAACTAGAAGCAACACACACCCCCTCCCTTTTATTACATTTTACGTTTTAGTTAAATCAGTTCGGACACAGACTACATACAAACGCCTAAAAATCCAACAAAAATCTAGGAATAAGAAATATAAATTCCCACTGATTTTTCTATTATGTGCTCTTTTAAGCAGTGCTATTTTAAAAAAAAATACAGCACTACTGCTTTCAAACCCAGAAAAGGCTTACATTTTTCTTTAAGAGGCATGGCAAACACTAAGGGCATGAAGAAATCTGTGCAAGAGCGAATCTGCCAATGTTCTCATTCTGTAAAGGCACAGTATTTCTATTACTACCTTGTTTGTTCATTGACTTTTGGCTTACAGTTATAGAAAAGATCAACCAATTCTCAAATGGGAAGAATCCATGACTCTCTTCCAAAGCAAACACTTTGCTGCAAAGCTTTCAATTAAAGAAAGAAAGGCAATACAATAATCAAGAAGCGTAATCACGGAATAAGTGTACAACAGAAAGAAAGTGGTTTCTATAATCACAGCTGTCTTAAAGTCCAGGCTAGAGACCAGAAATCTTAATTTCAACTACTTCTTTTCTTAATAATGGGTTACCTTCCTATAAAAGCGAGAAGTCCATCTGCCCCAGGCAGATAAGTTTTGAAGCATTAATTCAGATAAAAATCTAGCATTTTCTTTCTTTCTTTCTTTGAGTATGTGAATTCTACTGTGCTATAATGTGAGAATTCCAACATATGACCATTATGGCATAGTATCTCATTGCTCAGCTTGTCATTATTTCATTTGTAATTCTTATGTTAATTATGTTCATAATTACTATAAACAGATGTGGTAGACATTCATGTGACCTTTTATTGCAGAATGCATTCTTCACTCATTTTGCTTTCATTTCTCATGTATGTGAAGCTGAAATGTGGGGGAAAGAAAAAGGCTTTCTAATTTTCTAATGTTTTCTATGCATAAGTTAAAACAGAACCTACCTTCTCGTTCATCTGCATTTCAGAATATTAGAGCATTCTTAATGATGAAGCTGCTTTGCATCACATTTCTAAATTGCACACTGAACCTCACTAAATTGTAGCTATGGATGCCAAACAAAGGCTAGCCTCCGTGTCTAAGTTGTTTGTCTTTTTTTAATATCAAAGGTTAATGCAGCAGAATTGGGCTTCAAAACCAAGTGCAATAGCAGCTACATAGCGATTTATTCACTCATAACTCAACCATCAACTTCTTTAAATAAAACACATTTACAATAAAATCAGTATGGATTTCATTAGCTGAAAACCTCCTCCAATTTCATTTCTTTGACCCTAATCTATAATTAGTGTGGACAGACAGGTGCAAACCCTTCTCTTCTACAGATGGCTACTGGAAATGGTGCAAAGTAGCTCCTTCTGTTTAAACAACACAGAGATAACCTGCTCTGTCTTATCACTTACAATTACCTCCATTAAACTGAACTAATGTTTGCTTTAATAAAATGTTCACTGTTCTTTAAACATTATTTAGGAACTCTTATATTAATGGCTGTAAAAAAGTGAAGTTGGAAAGTGTCTCTTTAGATGATAATAAACAGCTCACTATGGATAAAATGTTCCCACTGATGGATAATACCCTGTGGTTCACAGAGGTATTTTATTGGATTGAATATTTGTTAGTTATTTTGCACAAATGCTCACATATGATTTTTTAAAGACATTTGAGTGACAATTTAACAAGTATAGGGGGAAATATGTAACATTATTCTTGAAGTTTAGGAGAATGAAAGGCTTAAGTTTTCTTACAGATTTTAAGTTATGAAAATACAGCACTCTTAAAAATCCTAGATTGTTTCATGTATTTGTTCACCTTCTGATAGATTATTCTCAAAGCTGAATGAGTTCATTCTTTAAGGCATATCTAAATATGTAACTGGAAATGTAAGTTCACTCTGCAAGCACATGGTTAAAAACACCATTTCATAATAAATAACTTCCATAAAGACAGAGCTCACTTCTCTCTGCTCCTGCTATCAATAAAGTCTGTGGATCACTACATGATGAATAAGGTGTCCATAAAACAAAGAAGCTTTAAATGCTCAAACAGCAACAAATAAATAGCCTTTCTCACTGAACTTACATAACTTACAGTAATAGACTCCAGCAAAATGCAACTGACTCAGTTTTTTTTCACATGCAAATCCTGCAGGTGCCAATTTTTCAGACTGCTTTGCTATGAAGGGCTATGTTGCCTGCATAAAACCTCAATGAAGAAGGCTTTGCATTCAGTGCCTGTCAGCTGATGTTCATATCAAAGAAGTGAGAAACAGGATTTGACAGTGAAGAATGTTCTGAACTGACAACCACTGACCAGCATTCCTATTGGCAGCATTTCTTTCTTGTGATCCTTTCTCAATGTTTAAAAAAAAAAAGAGGTATTTTTGGCTAAGCTTCTATTTTACAATAAAATAAATTATAGTGGCACCTTACATTTGGTTAGTTCTTTGCAATTTATGAACTGCTCTTTTATCTGCAAATATTTAGACTAACACCTCGAAGAGAGAGCTCATCATCAAATTCTAACATCAAGAGAAATATTTTACTTCTCTCGGAGAGGGAAAATTGTGAAAATATGTACAAGCTGCCATCCTATAGCTGCAACCAGACTCTCCTTTCAGTAACTTGAATTGAAGAGTTTGCATTGTATGGTGGGTAAAATGATTTTTATTAGGAAGGAATCTTGAAAGATCATTTTTAAATCAACTTATTAGCGGGTATTAGTGGGTTGCAGAGACTAAATTTATAAAGGAAAAAATACCATTTCAAAGATTTCTGGTCTGCTTTGAGTTGTCCCAACATAAAAGAAAAAACAGACTAGTCTCTGCACCGCTTTTATTAGGCATGAACTGGACACTGGAGAAGCTCCATCCTGAAATTCTCTTATGCGATTACTTAGCTTTTCAAATAAAGTGACTGCTGCTTAAATGATATGCAATATAATGATTAATGCTTAAACAAAGATACTTATTATAAAGTTCTCAGTATAAAGTCAGTTTTTATGCACCCAGAATGAGACCAATCCCTCGGTTATTTTGTTGGAATTTTGTCTTTT